ATTGTTTCATGTTCAGAATATAAATCATACTTTTTACCCTACTTTATCGATTAATTTATGTGAGTTTCATCGTGGAGAGCTTAATCTATAAATTATTCCGTTATGAGAGCCGGGTTATGACTTCTCATGAGGACAAAACATCGTTAAATTCAATGATCCTAGTTTCCACGGAACAACAATTATCGTAAATACCGACAATAACCGATTGCGTATACCTCTCTGTGGGTTTAATTCAGTAAATAACGCGTGGTTGTCACAGCAGTGAATAATTTTCGCGTCAAACGGTGGAAAATTTGTGATTTTACTGAGACAGCAGGGGATGCACTGGAATGACGATCGTAAATTTCAATTCCAGAGAAGATGACACCAATCGCTGGTAATTAACGATTCTAGGAATTCTAGGAACTGTTAGAAATTTCTGGGCTTTCGGGATTCTAGTTCTTTCGGTGCGATTGCCGTCGGGAGTTTGCCGCACTTTTTGGGGATCTTTCTAATTTTGGAGAGGAAAAAGCTTTCGGTGCATTGAGTGGAATTCAAATTGGGGGATTGAGTTTTATTTTTGGTTGGGCGAGAAATTTCGGTTGGAAAATGAGGAATTAGTGACGTTTTTATCGGAGATTTCAATCGGAATTGGTGACTTACGGAATGAAAGGGGATTATTTTTATTTCTTGGTTGATTGATGTGAAAGTGACAGTCTATTTGGGGGCATTAATCAGAAATACTCAGAGCTCTCCATTAATATTTCAGAAGACTGATGAAAATTATTTGTTTTCTAATGCAGCCCCAGGGGTCGGTCTTGGAACGTTCCAGGAAGACACGATTTTTTTAAAGTTTTTGTCAATCAGCGGTTGATTTCATACATGACTTTCAAAAATACTCAAAAGTTTGAAAATTAAAAATAGATTCGCTCCCTAGCCCTAGCCCTAGCTGGGGGCCTTTTCTGTAATCATTAGGACAGAAAAATTAATTGTTTTTTTAAATACGACTTTTCCATTGAGTAAATATCGATATATATATGTCCCTCTCGTACATGACACCCGAAATGATCAGGAAAGCGAAATGGAAAGAGTACAATATTTTTTCCACGAAATTATTCTCACCTCACTTAGAATCCCGATGTTGGTCCCCATAAAATTATTCGCATATCAAGCCTACAACTCGAAAAGTCACGCGAAAGTGTGACTTCCACTGCTGCCATACCATTGGCAATAATTCAGTACGAATTTATTGCCAGTCCCAATGAATCGCGTGGCTTAACATCCTCCATCGTATAACAACACTCGGTACAAGCCGCACGCGCACATTACGAGTATTTCAAGACTTTTCTCCGTGCCCCCTTGATTGTCCAAAAACTACCGATGCAAACAGTAAATTTCAGGAGTGAGATATTTAGAGTAGGCAGAAGATGAACCGAAAAGCCGCGAGGAGAAAGTCCACGAGTCGCGGATTAAATGTTTTCTTTTTAAATCATCCCAAATATCTTCAGATCTCTCCAATTTTAGAGGGAAAAGTGCGAGAAATGAAAGTTAGAGCGTAAAATTCTGGCGGAAAAGTGTCTTCGGTAGTTTTCCTTTATTATGGATACATATTCGGTAAAAATGATGGAAAAAAAACTTCACTCGCGGATGACTCGAAAAGTCATTTTCACATCGATTTTCTAATCATTTTTATTGGATTTTTTTTCTTCGTGTATTAGGTTCTCAGATATTCGCGGTTGATTTGCAATTTGTGAAACGACTTTGTTCCAAATTCATCGGTTTTTCTCTCGTTCTTTGCCCCGGACATTTATGAATGCATTCATCAATGATAATTTACCACCGTGTGCGATAGTCTCAGGGTCATCGGTATGCAATACCCTGAGGGGGAAAAAACAGGATGATAAAGCCCGGAAGGAATAGGTTGTATGAAAAATTCGCATCGACGAGTCCTTTTGCGAGAGGGTGTTGTCTCGGTAGAGAGAAAGACGAGTGTGTGGAGGTCCCGTTTACGATCTCGTAAACGAAGATTCGCAATTTGTTTCCGTCCGAGTGATTTACGGAATGATGACTCGTTACATTTGCGTTGGGGGAAAAAGCCACGAAGTTTTTTTTTCACCATTCACTGGGTATTTATTCGAGTGCCTCAGTTTATTGTTTATTTAAAACTTTCACATGGTAAGATGGATATGGAGTTGTCATTAATACGGGGGAAAAAATTCCCAGTTTCGAATTTTGATTTATTTCTGGGAGAGGAGAAGTTGTAAATCAGATTTTCACGCACGCATTTTTTTTTTTTCTGTTGTCGTTCGGACAATTCGTCATTTTTTAATCGCTCATGTGAACCTCGGGAATGGACGATTGCTCAATCTGAATTTTAGGGGTGAAATTATTATATTTTTCGGAGTCGCTGAGTCACAACATTTATAATATAATTTTATTACAATATTTAAATAATTGCAATATTTGAGAGATTTTCAGAGAATAACTGAAATTTCAATTAAACTTTTTGAAATTGAATATTCAATTTGAATAAAAAAAAGTAAAACGTACCAAAAAAAATTAACCGAAAATTCAGATATATTTTTTCGTATTTTCCCCAATAAATTCGAAAAATCGGAGTTCGAGCGTCAGTCTATGATATCCGTTGACATCCGAAACAAGAACTAAAGTTGATAGAGAAGTACTTGAAGTACTCACGTACTTGTGGAATAGGAGGAGAGAGGTAAGAGGGTAAAAATATAATAAACGTGGGATAAACGCATCCGGTTTGCGCATAAATAATGGGAAGAGGGGTTTCTCGTCGATGAATGACGCTCGTTTGGTAAAATTCAAACGAGCGACTCTTCGTTCGGAGATCAGTGAAAGTCAGCTTCCCTAGATGAGGTACTGTGCAACGAATTCGCATTGAATGACCTCGTCGTACCTCGGATAATCATGCAGTCGTTACGAACATGGAGGGGGGAATAATGTCGCTGGATAATCTTATGTGGGGCCTACTCAATAAGCTAGTTACGCACAAACCCGTCTATTCTGGTTACACTGGTTATGGGACTATATGGGCGCAGCGGAACCATGTATTCTCGTTTTTGTATAATTTTTTTTCCATACGGCACCACCCACGGGTGTTTCTAATGCGAGCACCTCGATCATTCAATAATTCCGGACATTGATACGTGATATATCGTGATTAATCAATGAACCCCCATCGATATACGATATATCAACTGTACGGGCTAATTTTTCAATCTGCGTTCAATTTACCAAATTGAAAATATCATTTTGGAGTTTATGGTACACTGGAAAATTTATTGACGCTTTCACACGAAATCATTATTTTTAATTATGTGTGTTTAAATTTAATTCAATAGTGGAGTTGCAAATTAGGATACGGGCAGTTTTTTTAAAGCCTATTTTTAAATATCATTGAATAATCAATATCAATATCATTAGAGGCAGAAATGACAAGAAGAAAAATACATCGAAAAACAGTCTAGAGGTAAACTCTGTTGTCCCTGAAATTCCTTAAAACTTCCAGAATGGTTTCTGCGAAGCTAATCCCTCTCGCTGCTACACGAAAAGAAACACTTAATCAAATATAAAATATTCTTGATTAAAGCACATCTTTTCCGTGTAGACAAGCAAAGCATTCGGAAAATATCCGACAATTTCGAATGTCGAAAATTACAGCTGAAGATTTTTTTTTTCTCTTATGAACTTTCAAGAAACTTCTAACGGTGTAATAAGGGTACTTAGCTCCATAATTACGCGAATAAAGATACGTAATTTTCATTGAATATTTCTTGTCGTACTTGGGAAGTAGCCAAGTCCATTGCAACTGAAATTCCGAATTACAGTCACGTATTGCCGTGTAGATTTCCTGAGTGTCGAATACACACGCATGCCGCTTCCTCCGTTGACTCGCACGCGTTTCTTACTCACAAGTTAAAAGACCCCCCCCGAGTTCGTTATCCCAACACGAGTCGACTGTATTCTCGTTGCATACACGTGAACACAATGGGTGAAGAGTCAGGAATCTTGGAGAGCTTAACAGTAAATAATTCAAAGAGCCTAGTGGAGGGTTGCGGGAGTGAAGCGTCAGGGAGGAACAAAAAAAAAACAGTTTAAAAGATAGAAAAAAAAAATAATAATAAAGAATGAAAGGAAGAATGAAGAAGCGCTTGAGGGCCGGTACTGTGTTTACGTCCATTATTTTTATTCACTATTTCTTTATTTTCGCGGGAGTGTAATATACGCAACGTTTGATCGTAAACCATCGGATGCACTTGAGGTGTACATCTGTGTGAGTACTTGCAGAGGCTACAATATGCATCATTTAACGGTACAAACCCGCTTAGGACCATCCTCTTATTTTATTTTTTACGGTTAATGTATTTTTAACAATTATTTATGGCCGGAAGTGTCGGATGATTCATTGTTTTAGAAATTATTTTGGCGAGTTGTGACTTCGTATAATGGAATATCTACAGGGATTTACACGTGTTAT